AATGTGCTAGTCTTCCACGCGAATAGTGAAATGTGCTACTCTTCGTAGGGACCGACGATGTGATGTGATGTGGAATGATTTTCCGTCATCCCTTGTCAAATTTTGTTTGGGGGCAAAACGAAAAATGACACTGAAGGTGGCACAACGCCGAAACCGGTTTTTCTGCAAACTAAATTTGACAAGGGATGACGGAAAATCGTTCCACATTACATCACACACCTACCCCGTCGGAAACACCAACAACGAAAATGAGGTAGCGATAATATTTTATTAGAGTTCGCTATAATTTCTTATAATAAAATATTACACATTAGTGCAAACGCAGTAGGCCCGAAATAACATTAGCATATGAACATCTCCTGAAAAGCCTCAATGAAAGCAAACAAATAAATTTTACTTTAACAGAATTTGGTGAAGCCAATCGATATACATATGTATGTATAATACATATACATATATAATCGATTCTTTACACTGAAAGATATTAACGATAGGTCAACAAACCGAGACCGACCTCTTAACCCAGCAACCTGACTATACATTTCCGAAGGATTTCGATGCGCTGAATCCAAAGCTGGCATATTTGCAATATCACGTCAGAATTATGAGATATTCTAACCTAACTGTGTGAAAATTACCGTTTTGGGCAAATTTCAACATCTTATATACATATGTATATAGTCCAGAATACATTTTTTCGAATATTCGCACAAATTTTACTATAAACTGCGCTTCTTCTACATTGAAAATCTTCTAAATTTTTTCAATTCCGTTTATTCTTCGCTGGGATATAAAAATATAAAATATGTGATTGAAGCTACCATATTAGGCCCATCATTTTGAATTTGCATTGTTTCAATTCGTAAATTCGAAATTTGTAGAGTGGCATTACTGAATAACAGATGAGTTTTTGTACAGATTTTCTACAACAAATTTACGATATCGGAACATGATCAATTTAAAAAATAATGCATGAAGACAACAATAATGATAATAGTACATATGTATCAAAATATTTATTAGAATTGTGAAATTTTTACGATTTGATTTTAAGGTGTATTATATTTGTAAAATTATTTTGGGCTAGATAATAAATGTATGCTTTTCTAGAGAAATGGAAGTGAAATAATAGTAAGTAATTAAATTAACTCACAAATTATTTATTATCTTACACTCCTCAAGTTTTTTTCGCAATTTTTTTTGAAGTGAGTGGAATAACTGTTCATTATTATGCGGGAAAATACTCATAATACGCGAAGGCATTTTTTGTTATAGTCATCAGATCAGAGAAGGCAGTTCGGAATATGCGCTCTCTGGGAAGATAATACCTGTAATAATTGTACCATGATGTGCAATGAGGATGTTATTTTTTCCAAAAGAGTTTCCATTTGTTAAAAAACTATATTGAAATTTTTAATAAGTTAAATCAATCATTATCAATATTGTAATGAATCGAAATGTTTTTGAAAACTTCAATGAAACGAAAAAGCGACAGAGGAAGAGAGAGGATGACGGATGGTGGTAGGGATGATTAATGGTGTTTCCGTTTCTACCAAAAAATTTCGCCCTTTCTCTTTTCGTGTTCGACTATAAAATAAAGCTAAATAGTGAGCAAATTTTGTGTTCGCTTCTTAAAATGTTACACATTCTCTGCCCTTTGAAGCTTTGTTACGCAACTTTTTTGTTCTAAATATGTACCGGTGAAAATTTATGTTACCTAGTGAGTAAATTCATCATACATAATTATTAAATTTATTTAAAATTACGTAAAAACATGAGAAAGCATTATAAAATTATTCACTCGCATTCAGTGATTTTCTCAGGGCTCAGTATCGACCCGTATATTTTTTGCATCAAAAAACATTGTTAAGGCATTGGAAAAAACAGCGAGAACGGTACTCATGTTTCTAGGGTATGCTCAGTTATTCGGTTATTATTATTTGGAAAACCCATATTTTTCCATACCGTTGCAAAGTTGTTTTTAAATTAAACTGTTTTAAAGCTTAAGACATTTTTTCTTTATTTCTGTGTTCGATCCAATGCCCGAGCAACATCTAAAAAAAAGTGTTTTCTAACAGCGGTCGCCCCTTGGCAGGCAATGTCGACATCCTCCGCTTCCCATACAAAAAAAAAAAAAACCTAAATTAGCGAGGACTGCTCGTTCTGTCTACAATTTCAATTGAATGTAATTTGAAACTTTCATTATTGTGTACATATGTATGTATAAAATTAATTCTTTATTATGAAATACAAGTAAGTTCTATATATCTAAGTACAATAAATAATCGAGCATTAAAATTTAAAGTAAATATTTCAAAACAAAGTACATGTCAAAGTTTTTGTTAATAGATTAACGAATATTATTATTCTACGATAATAAGAAATTTCGTTAGTCAAATTTATATTAAAATTTAAATTTAAATTTAAAATATATCTAAGAATGTAGTATACATAAATGAAACCTATAAGTATTTACATTCACACAAATACAAAACGCATACACACCAGCACTTTTACTACCTATGCTAAACAGTTATGAAAAGAAAATAATCAGGAAAAAGTGTTTTTGTAGTGAGCATTTCGGAAAACGGCGGTTGAGCTGGGTTTCAGTTCAAGGTAAAAATCTCTTTAGTTGCTTAAGAAAACAAAGTGATTTCGTTCCGACTCCCATTCGATTCAGTTAATGCGTCTGTTCGATAATCGGATAATTACCACAAATTATCATTTTGCTATTTTGCAATTTTTAGACGATTAATCATTAAACGAAAACTAGTCGACGAACAGTTGTATTACATATCGAATATTAATTGAAATTATCCTTTTTGTGTGTTAGAAATATTCTCACTTCAGTTCAGTATTCTATCTGAAGTTTACGTTTACTGATAGATTTTTACGCTTGGCCCTGAGCGTAGTAGTAACCGCCAAATGGGAACGCACGCCCAGCTACGGCCACGTTTTGCTGTTGTTGCTGCTGCTGCTGCTGCTGCTGCTGCCGACGGATGCGCAGTTGCTGTTGGTAAGGTGGCTGCAAATCACGATGCAACGCCATCGAAGCCAAGTGCTGCTGCTTAAGATCACTGATCATAGCAATTTTGCGATGCTTAGGCTGGCCACTACTGACGGCTGGCGCTGCTGTGGAGGCAGAGGCACCCCCCCTACCAGCCGCACCGCTACTCAATTGATAAGCCTCCAAATCTTCATCGCGTGGCAGAGGTTTGTGCTGATCTTCCTCGACTGGAGTGCCATCAGGGCGAACGCGGATGACAAGCGGACCGCTGAGAAAAGTCTCGGCGTGAGGCTTCTGATTGACTGTTGTTTGAGTGACGGGATAACCGTAGGCGAAGTCCATGTCCCAGGCAAATTTGTGCTTGTGATCAGCATCGCTGTCGAAGAGTGGATTTTGGCTGTTGGTTGTAGTGGAGGCAGCGGCGGCGGCTGCAGCGTTGGAAGATGAGGGGGCTGCTGTGTTGGCCGTCTTCTGATGTGTTAGGATTATGATGGAGGAATCTGGTGGTGTTGGCAAGGGTTTGCGGGTGGTAACGAGTGTTGAACTCGGGTGTTCGCGCATGATGGAAGACCAAACTGCAAATAGAAAAAATAAATAAATAAATAAATAAAGGTTTTATTACTACACAAGGATATATCTTTAATGATAGCTAATAGTTAATAATAAATAAATAAATAATTAATTAACTATGATTTACAGCTTTGACTGCTGCTAAAAATAGCTGAATGGGTAGAGTTATAGATGCGTGATGATGCATAATTTATGTACATACATATGTATGAGGATATAACTACATACTTATAGCATTGAGTAACAATTAACGACTGGCTCAATTACACTGTGCAACGTTAAAAATGAGCTTTTGAAGGAAAATAGTACAGTGAAATTAGCAAAAAAGTGGTAATTTGTGGTAAGGTCCATAAACCGTTTTGATTTTTATTGAGTAGGTTAAAGAGATGTTAATAAAAGTTTTGCGGGTCTCAGGGGGGTTGTGGAATCGCCGGCATCTTGAAAAGAAGAGTGTAAACTTTTTTCGCTATTTAAATTTTTTTTCGAAAAAACTCCAGAAAACTGTTTTGTTAGCTGAAAAAATCTATGTACATTTTTTGTTTAAGCTTTTTTTTCTAGCGTCATTATTTTGCATGTTAATAATAAATTATTGATACATTTTTTTTCACATTTTGACAGTGGATTGTCCTAACACCCTTAATTCAATGAAAACAATACCCTTCTAATCTCAATTCTAAAAAATAAAACATAAAAGATTCGAACAGTGTTAAGCATTGCGGTCCGAAAATCTTATCACCCTCGGCCAAACACTAACATATTCACCCTTATCATGAGTTTTATTTTCCCCAAACCGGTTCACTTTTCACTCTTGGTTTCCATAGTTTTACTATGGGCGGATCACAAATTTTCGGGTGAATTTTTTTTTTTCAGGCGAAACTCAGGCAGATTGTGTAAGCGCCAGTCTATTATTATTCTGCCTTGTCGAGTTTCGCCCGAAAAAAAAATTCACCCGAAAATTTTTCATCCGCCCATACATAATACATGGACACCAAAAGTGAAAAGTGAGCCAATTTTGTATAAAATAAACAATTTTGTGCAAAACTCGCGAAAACTCAGCAAATTTTCATCAAAATTTTCAACTTTTTAACAAGATTTTTTAGATTATTTTGAGTATGCGGTTTTGCAGCCCATTAATTTCTAGTAAAAAATGCAAGTTCGAAGTTAGTCAAATTGTTGATTTTTGAGATTTTTTTTGTTGAAGGTGTTTTGCATTTTTTCCATACAAAGTATTTTCGAAAAAATTTATGTACATATGTATGGAAGAGACTCCGCAAAAAAAAATTGCCAAAAATCAATGGTAATTCCTAGCTACTTAAAACTTGCACTTTATTACAATAAAATTAATTGTGCTACAAATCTGCGTACTCAAAAAAATTCTGATTAAAAATTTTGGTGAAAATTTGCTGAATTTTCGCGAGTTTTGCACAAAGTTTAGGAATTATGTATATTTTTATGTTTTTTGTTGTGGAATGAATTGTGAAAAATTTGCTGTGCCAATACTTTGTTCCGGCAGTGTAGCCATTGCTCAAACGATCGCTTGTAAATTATTTTCGCGGATGACATTATTGCTACCTCACATATGTACATACAAATTTTTACTTACTTATACAAAGTTTTTCTATGTAGGTACGCTTGTCAACTTACTTAGTTCATTGGCGCCTCGTTGATATGGATCCAACTGGTCCAACTGCGAATCGGCGAACGTCTGCAGTTTCTCATAGCCATAGGCTAGTAAGTCGCGCTTGCACTGGTTCACTGGCATTGCAGTGGCAGCGGCGGTAGCTTTGCAATGCACACTAACCAATTGCCCGAATGCGGAATAGAGATACGACATCTGTGGAGAGGAAGAAGAGAAGTGGTGATAAATGCAAGTGAGTGAGTGAGCGATTAGAGAATGTGACGATAAACTTGTGTATAAATAAATAAATGTGTGCATTTACATACATGCATACAAACGTACAGCTAATTGATAAATTCTTATTTATTTGAGCTTTTACTGATAACTATGTATCTATGTATGTAAGTTGGCGGATATCTTAAATGGCAAATTAATGAACTGCAATGTGCAATACAAGTGCAAGCAACTACATTTACATTTTAGTTAAAAAAGAATGCGTTAAGGTTTTGTTCATCTAAAAAAAAAAAAAAAAACAAAAGAAGATTTTGTATATATCATTTAAACTGGCCGACCTTTGATACAATACGGATTGCCGGTGTGTGGCTTTTTACAAATGCAAACATTCGCATGCATGAATATTGTATATTTTTATGCATCGCAATCGGTGTGCTAATAACTATAGACATATCAATATCGTTAATCATCGCCATTAGCGTTACCGATTTTACCGGTTCCGCTTTCACTTCTCTTACTTCTCCACACGGCAACCAGAATATCTCATGCCCGAGCGAAATTTATCTAAACGCGCTTAAGGGCCAGTCTTTCAGTACCAGTTTAAACTTAGATCACATAAACTGCGTTCATATTTAACAGCTCTGGTTGATATGTGATGTGTGTGGCTAATCGTAGTTTAAACCAGCTAGCTGGAGCATTTAAACTACATACATATGTATGTTTAAACCGGTCAAATTGCACTCAAATACTGGCCCTAAGTGAATACCACGAATTGCTGGCAAAATCGATTTTGGTATTTACATATTAATTTTTGTTTGTTTGTTTAAAGTCTAACAGGTTTGGAGATTTTTTGGCAGAGATTGTGCCCGCTAGTTGTTATTATTTCTACGATTATTATTCTCTCTCATTTCCGTTTTCTATTCTTACCAAAGCTATAACGCGTTTAAAATAAAAACAAAATCAGTTCTCCAAACCGTTTTCAAACAATTTCATTTTCGAAATGTTGGCATTCAATAAACAACCCCCGCCCCCCTTCCCCCTTCCTCGGGCCCATAAGGTTTACTCAACTAAAATAGCGAAAAATAAATAACCATAAGGTGCGAAATTCCCCATTCCGTCATCAACCGCCTTAAAAAAAAAAAAAAAAATTTGTCATCGGCATACTTAGATGCTAAATGTACGCTCTTTAGCTGACGAAATCTTAGAAATCCCCAAATCGACGAAGATTTATGTTTGTCTGTCTAGCTGACGTACAGTCTTTTCAGGCTACCGCATTTTCGCATCCGTCCATTCGTCTAATATTTTGCGAAATTCGAAATTAACACAAATGAAACGCTCCGTTACCTTTACAGAATAACAAATTGGGCATGCACACAAAAAATTCTTGCTGCCACAGAGAGCACTCACAAACATTCATCCACACAACACAAGCACGTGTGGAGCGTAAAAGAACCACTGAACCGAAAATGCTGCGTATGGAGCAATTCATGACACGCTTGTGTTGTGGGCGAACAAGGGAAGGTACATTACTTGACTACTGCATCCACAGTGACGATAGCCATATGTACATATGTATGTACACAGAGGAATGTGTGTCGGGCAATTTTGGTTACAAATAGCTGGTAGTTGGCAAATGACTGGTAGTTAGCAAATTGGTAGGGCTTTCCAGTAGCAGTAGCATCCAACGTGTTGCTTTTTTCTGTATCGCATCAGCATACAACAGCATGGAACAGATCATTCTGCACTTGCACCCAGCATAGATTCTTAACTTACATACATATGTACATATGTATGTACATATCGTTAGTATATTTCAGCGACGATGTGAGATACGCTCTTTCCATACAATACTACCCACCAAACAATTTGTGTTGCCGGCAATAAGAAAACGTGTCGCCCTCGGAAACAAATTTATTGCCGGTAATATTGCCATCGAATCGATTTCCTATTACCGGTCGCTCTAAAACGTCCGCCGAAGGCAACTCGCTTGGGCGAGTCGTTTTCTTATTACCTGAATGAGTCCTTTTCTTATCGCTTCAGGCGATTTTTGGAATAATTTTATTCTTTTTAATACTTCATTTATTTTTTTGTACCAAATTGCAACTTACAATCGGAATTAATTCATTTTCTCGCTGTGCGACCTCCTATTTTTTCAATCTTGTCCTTGGGCTTAATTTAGATGCTTTTGGCCAATACTATTGACGCCATATTCATAAGTTTCGGAATTTTTGAGAACTTTTTTATTCAAAATTGACATGAACGAAGTGATGTTGCCGATTTGTCACCACAGCAATAAATCGGTGAGTCGCCAATTTGTTGCCATTGACGATTGTTGCCTATTTCTCATGTTTTGCATGGTGGGTATCGCTTATTTACTTCAATAGTGTCATAACTCAAAAAGGTAAATCTCGAGAAATATGGCTTTAATGTTTTGAATTTACATATCGTCCCCCTTATGCCAGAAACATGAATGTGTAAAAATTAAAATGTTGGGAAATCAAGTTTGAAAGTTGTTTGTATTACACTTAACTTTAAATTAATGTAGTTGACATTATAAAATATGTGGTTTCCGTGTACGCATGGTATTCTGGGTTTTGGTATAATATAAAACATCCAAAGGTGAATCAATATGAAATTTTTACACAAAATAGAAGAAGAGGTAGCGGTAATTTCTGCATATCTACATACTTAACTCAATATTTAAATTTTTTTGGATTATGGCACTATTGAAGTAAGTGAGCGATATGTATACATACATACATATATATATATATATGTGTATATATCGTCATTTATAACCTTGTAACTCTTAAAATTAAAAACTCTAAAAACCGTCTTTAAAACTTTAAAAATATTTTTTGTTTTTCATTTGAACAATATTAAATACTAGCAAATAACCGGTGTGACTTACTGCGCCTGAAATGCATTTTTGTGTTGTTACTCTCTCCCAAAACTCTTATGGCTTCATTCATAAAAAAATAAAATAGATTTGAAGTGAGATTTTCACACAAAGGGCGTTAGTATATTTTCGAAGGTATTTAATCCTGTAAATTTAATTTATACTCTCATAACTCGATTTTACATACTATGCACTTTCTTCAAAGCAGTATTATTTCAGTACTAACCTTATCTTATCGCTTTAACTGAATAAAATTGTTCAAATAGGTGGCAACTCGGTTGGGTAGTAGACTTTCTTAAACCTAAGATAAATGAATATTAATTAAAGACAAAAACTCGAACCAGACCGAACGAAAAATGACACTGAAGACGGCACAACGCCGAAACCGGTTTGTCTGCAAACCAAGCTTGGCAAGGGATGATGGAAATTCGTTTCTTAAACCTCTTTAGTCTGATAATCGCATTGTTATATTTAATTTACTTTATCAACTTAATAATTGTCTAAAAATTTTCAAATAGGTGGCAACACTCCTTAAAAATATGTTTGACAGTAAATTTTCCTAAACCTCTTTAGTTTGATACCCACATTGCAATATTGAATTTATCTTATCAATTAAAAAAACATTAAAATTTTCAAACAGGTGGCAACCTTCCACACAAAAATATTTCTTAGTTATTATTTTCTTAAACCTCTTTATTTTGGCAGCCATTTTGCTATATTTACTTTATTTTATCAGCTTACTTAAACTGCAATATTCAAACAGGTGGCAACTCTCTAATTATTTTTTTCGTACAAACATACAGACGGACATACATTCGCCTGTTACAATTTTATTTTATGCATGTATAGAATTTTGTATACGAATGTATACAAATTTTGAGAGCAATATTTTTATAATATCGATTTCCGGTTGCATGTGCTCTTTACACATACATACATTCATAAATACATACATATGTATGCACATTTAGAGTACGTTGCGCCAATAAAATTTGTTTACGTGATCAGCGTGCATATTTTCAAGTAATTCACGAAATTGATAAACTGCTCAACCGCCGCATCAACTTATACCAGTTCAACTATTTTAAACTTTATACAGTTTGGGTTTGGGAAACAAAATAGTAAAATCAAATAAGAACGTATTTAAATCAAATGAAAACGTGTTTCAAATACGCCCATATTAAAATAAAAATTTTGCACTTCACGGATGGCGTTTTGCACTTCACGGATTCGTTTTCATACATGTTTGCACCTGCAATGGAATTTGAACCCTGACCCTCTGGTGGAAATAAACAAATTTTGGCAAGCATCTTTGCGCACTCAGCTAACACTAAGTTTGTGTGTATTTGTTGCCACCGCTAAAGTGAAAAATGCTTAATTTTGAAATGGGCCCATTTGAATTGAATATTTCCTTATACACTACTTTTGAACATGTTTTCATTTGATTTAAATACGTTTTTATTTGATTTTACTATTTTTTCCCCTCAGCGTATACTCAGATGTGGGCATTCAAATACGTGCGTGCTAAATTTTGGCATGAAAGTTTTATTTTTAAATTCGAACATTTTTAAACGATAATCAAATAAAAAATATTCATTTTCACTATGCGTTATTTACCTCAGTGTGGGGAATTCTTACAAACTATAAAGTTTTGATGCTCAAAAAACCTTCAAAATAGGTAAGAATAAACTTTCATTTTGAAACAAGTTGCCAATTTTTACTGGCTTTTAACCTATATATTTACATACCGTCGTTTAAAGTGCAAAACCGCGTATCAAGATAATGCAAAACCGCCTATGTGAGGTAAAAAAAATAATTTTCTAGAGAGTAAAAGTATTTCAAAATGGTTATCTTTTTTATAAAGCAATCGCATTTCTGGCTGGTATATTTCAGAGCGAATGGATAAGGATTGAGCCAAGAGCTTGTGTGAGTAAATCCAATTTTTGGCAGCAAATGTCAGTTACGCGGTTAAAGGATGTTATATACATATGTACATACATATGTGACGTCAAATGTCATTGAATTTGATATGCTTTAAGCTATAAAATGTTTACAACTAACTAAGTACAAATAGTGAAAATTTTAAAATTTTTTGCCAATAGCATATTAATTTTCAT